TGGGCCACATGGAGGCACTCCCTAAAGCCATCTCCAAATGAACTTCACAGTAATTTGATAATTTGTTGTTGTTATTTTTTCACTTGGAAATATACATTTTTTTTCTCTTGGAAATGTACATTTTTTCACTTCGAAATATACATTTTTTCACTTGGAAATATACATTTTTTCACTTGGAAATATACATTTTTTCACTTGGAAATATACATTTTTTTCACTTGGAAATATACAAATTTTTCTTTTAAAAATATACATTTTTTTCACTTCATTGAAACAAATAATAATAATAATAGTAATATTTAGATAATTGAATATTCACACTGGAAGGCTCCTAACTACCTTGGCACACCACTGTGCTCTGAATATAATAATAATAATAATGTATAATTAATAATTGCTTGACTTTTTAAATGGAACAATTCATATACAGTAAACTCTTGATAAAGCAGACTAATAGGAAGGATTCTCCCAAGTGTCTCTTAAATCCGAATAATGTTAAAACTAGCAATAAACAGCACTAAACTATTGTACACCTAATATAATAATGCATGCACAATTTACAGATATATTACAACAAATATTGAAAATAAATGAGCTAAAAGTATTTTAACCAGAGATTCTGCCCATAATTTAAGTTCATTACACCAGTCCATTAAAGCAAGGGTTTACAGTACAATAAAACTTTCCATTTGACACTTTACTTTCTTATGTACTTTATATATTTTAACCCTTAAACTGTCCAAACGTAGATCTACATTCACGTGTGTAGCGCTCTTACATTTTTTACATAAGAAAGCATGTAAAAAAAAAAGTAGATCTATGTTCAGAGCTCTTCCCACGTGAACATAGATCTACGTTTGGACAGTTTAAGGATTAACTTCTAAATCAGGGTCTAATGTTAGTGAAACAATGTGTGAAAATAACTTCTCTTGTAAACACATTTGTAAATAATGTACATAGTAATTGTAGTTGTAAATGTGGGTACAAGATAAAAACTTTGCTACCAATGGAACGATGCCAGTTAAAAGAAATCTGCGATGAGTTTGATGTGATGCTTGTACATTCTTTCTTCTGTTTATTGGTTTTCATTTTTTCATACAACAGTTTATCATTCCATGACCATAATTATGGATATGAACACAACTTCAAGTCGGTGTGCATAGATAGTTTATTGTCCCTGGATTCATATCTGATTTTTTCTTATTAAATTGTTTGTGTTGGTTATATATTATAGTTTCAACATAATTTGTATTAAATGGCAAAATGTCTTTGTTTTCAGATTTTTAAATAAATTCAAATAAGGCTGTTTTAAGTTTCAAAAAAATTTTATATAGTGTTTGTGTAGTTTACTTTCTTTAATTAAGAACATTATATATGTTATTTTATATCTTATGTTTCATTGATTAGCAAGTAATATGGACTTTATTAACACTTGTATTATTTTATGTACAGTTGACCCTCAGTAAACACAATAGTTATGTTCCTAACAGTGGAACGTATTCAAAAAATTGAAGAACACGTGGAAAAAATGCGGTTGCATTCCATACACACAAAAAAAATTGTGTAGGTTTTTAAACTGTTTAAAAAATGATAATGGTGTAATTTTAAATTGATGTAGTTAATATAATACTTATAGCCACAAAGGTTAAATAAATAACATTTCTTACCTTAAAATCTGGTTGCTGATGTATATCAATTATTTTAAAAGGAGCAGAGAGGGAAGGTGTAACCCTACTGGGCTAATGTGACAGGTTGTAGATTGTCGGCTGAGGTTCTTACACTGATATTGATAAGTGTATTGTGGAACTTAAGAATTCTGTTATACTTTTGGCCTGTTTTACCCTCCAGTACTTTATACAGCTGATGGTAAGGCAATCTTTTGATATATTTAATCACCAGCTGCTCTGGACCTCGTTTCATAGTAGTGCTTGTAGATTTGTCAGGGTCTTCTTCAGTTAAAAATTTTGCAGTTTTACCAATAATTTGGAACTGATCAAGTAAATGTTACAATGTTAGCTTTTTTTTTAGGTTCTTCCACATCATCACTAAACTGCCTTCCTTGTATCAGGGCACTCACCTCTGCAATATTTCCTTTGGACTAATTTTCTTTCTCTTCATTAACACTTTATTACATCTTCTGCATACAGTGGTACCCCAAGTTTCGTACATCTCCAACTCGAACATTATGTAAAGTGTATTATTGTAAGTGCTTTTGTAAGTATTTTTGGGGTCTGAAATGGACTAATCTAATTACATATTCCGTATGGGAACAAATTTGTTCAGTAGCGGCACTCGAACACCTTCTGGAACAAATTAGGGCAAAACTGGGGGTGCCCTTACCATCAAATTCCTGCCGCGGGGGCATTTTTCCTTGCCCTAGCTCAATGAGGGGAAAACCAGGAAAGTAGCACTACACTGCCAAATTTTTCCCGCTTGCTTTAACCCTTTAGCTTTCCTCTCCCCTAAGGGGGGGACTTTTTTGGGCCTATTTTGACCCTTGCAAAACCCTAATGTGCCGGGAAAAAATTGTCATGAGCCAGTAAGCAGCTTTTTCCTCCTGTAGCCCTAATGTTTTCCCCCAAAAAGGAAAAGGAGCAAGAGTGAAGCCATGTTCTTTAGACCGGGGAAATGGGGCCCCAAGGGTTTGCAAACTCATGAGTAATTAAGAAAAGTAAAAAGGTTTTAAAAGGTGGGCCATTGTAAAATTTTAATGGGAAATGCATTCAAATTTTGAGACCATTTTAAAAAGGGTTTTTTGTTTGGGTCCTTCATTCCATTACTTTTGTTTAGCTGAGGATCTGCTTTTTAAATTTAAATCCCAAAAATTTTTGGCACTTCAAGCAACAATTTTTGTTTCACTTTTCTTGTGTATTTTTCCCTAAAGTCCTAATAATTCCAAAACCCAGTGGAATTAAAAGGATTTTATTTGGGGAAAAATAAATTTTTTTTTGTGATGCACATCTATCAAACTTCTGGATATACGGGAATAAAAAAAGAGAAGTCATTTTTAAACCTCAGGCAGAGGAAACTTTTAGAGGAATTATAAAGAGTAAAGTCTTTTCACTTGCGCGCAGGAAAACTGACTTTGGGAATAAAGTACAGTGGACCCCCTTTTTCGTATTTTTTCACTCCGAAGTTGTTCAGTGCCCAGTACTGACCGAATTTTTTTCCCATAAAAATATTGTGAAATAGATTACCCATTCAGCCCCCCAAACAACAATACAAATGCATTTACATAAAAAACCTTAAAAATTTGGTCCATTGGGAGGAAGTTAGCGGGGGTCCACGTACTTCAATCTCAGAAAATAACCTCTGGAACTAAAATAGTCCATCTGACTTTTGCCCCCAAAAATAACTGATGTTTTTATTTTGGGGGCTCCAAGCTTTGAAAAAATGGAGGGGCAAATTTTGCTTTGCCACATTTTCCCCTACTGTTCGGCAAATAAACAGTAATACGGGTTTTTCACCAAAGAAAAATTTATAATTTTTGAAACTTTTAAATCAAAAAGTGTTAACATTACATTTTAAAACTGATGGTCTACTGTT